TGACCATATATGAAGGAGTTTATTTTTGGGTGTTTTATTCTGTTCCATTGGTCTAATTTTTTTTTTTGCCAGTACCATACTATTTTGATTACTATAGCTTTGTAGTATAGTTTGGAAGCAGGAAGTGTGATACCTCCAGCCTTGTTCTTCCTTCTCAAGATTAATTTGGCTATTAGGGTCTTTCATGGTTTCATATGAATTTTAGGATTTCTATTTCTGTAAAAAGTGTCATTGGAGTTTTGATAGAGATTGCATTGAATCTATTGATTGTTTAGGGTAGTGTGAACATTTTAACAATATTAACTCTTGTGATCCATGAACTTGGGAGATACGTGTATACACCCCCCCATACATTTGTTCTACACCCTCTGTTGAGAGTTTTTATCATAAATAGATGTTGAATTTTTTAAAAACATATTTTTTATTGAGTTATAGTCATTTTACAATGTTGTGTCAAATTCCAGTGTACAGCACAATTTTTAAGTTATACACGAACATACATACATTCATTGTAACATTCTCTTTCACTGTGAGCCACCACAAGATCCTGTATATATTTCCCTGTGCTACACAGTACAATTTTGTTTATCTATTCTATGTTTTGAAATCCCAGTCCCTTCCAACCTCCCGTCCCCCTGGCAACCTGAAGTTTGTATTCTATGTCTATGAGTCTGTTTCTGCTTTGTATTTGTTTGCTTGCTTGCTTCCTTTCTTCCTTCCTTCCTTCCTTCCTTCCTTCCTTCCTTCCTCCCTCCCTCCCTCCCTCCCTTCCTTCCTTTCTTTCTTTTTCTGGTATGTGACTTTTTTAATGTATTGTTGAATTAGGTTTGCTAAATGTTTTGTTCAAGATTTTTGCATCTATGTTCATCAGGGACATTGACCTGTGATTTTCTTTTGTTTTTGGCATCCTTGTCTGGTTTTGGTAACAAGTAATGCTGGCCTTGTAAAATTAGTTTGGAAGTGCTTCCTCCTCTTTTATTTTTTTAAGAGTTAAAGAATGATTGGTATTAAATTTTCTTTAAATGTTTGGTAGATTTCACCAGTGAAGCCATCTGGTCTTAGACTTTTGTGTTTTGGGAGGTTTTTGATTACTGATTCAAGCTCCTTACTAGTAATTTATCTATTTAGATATTCTATTTCTTCATGATTCAGTCTTGTAGGTTGTATGTTTCTAGGAATTTATCCATTTCCAATCTTGATGGAGTGGCCTTGTGTATATTAACCTTATTGTTCAGTCCTGCCCAAGCTCCTTATTGTCCCTCAAACCTTTGTAATTATCCATTTTGCCTGTTTTATTTTAGTAGATCTCAGTAGTTGAGGGTGTGCCAAAACCTGTCAGTGTCCTAAAGGGAAGATTCTCAGTCAACACCTAGATGCAGGCTGATTGAAAGCCAGACCTCAGCAGCTTTTAAAGTTTGCAAATATGCGTAGTCCTGTGGACAAGTATAAGTCTTGCTGGCCACCAGAGCCAGATGATAAAAAGATGTCTCTTGGCCTGCAGTCATAAAAATCAGGGTGCCAGTTCATTGAACAGATTCCTTTCCAGGTGATACCAGCAACATGCTCAGTGTGGGTTTTTTCTGTTTCCCTGATGTGTAGGTATTGCTTAGCTAGTTTATAGTGGGATTTTTTCTATATGTAACTGTAGATTCAGTGTGTCTATGGGAAGACGTGAGTTCAAGGTCTTCGTACATCACTGTCTTGAACCCAAACTGCCTATAATCCTTTTAATTGCTGTAGAATTGGTATTAATGTCCCAACTTTTTTTTAAAGTAATTTGAGTCTTTTTTCTTTATCTTAGTCCATGCAGCTAAAGATTTATCAATTTTATTGATATTTTTGAAAAAACAATTTTTGTTTTTATTGATTTTATGTTATCTTTCTAGTCTCAGTTTTCTTTATCTCTGCTCTAATCTATTATTTCCTTCCTTCTGCAAGCTTTGGGTTTTGTGTGTTCTTGAATTTGTGAAGTTAGCTTGTTGATCAGAGATCTCTCGATTTTAATGTAAATGATTGTAGCTTTAAATATCCCCCTTAGCGCCACTTTTGATGTATCTCTTAAGTTTTGATATGTTATGTTTTTGTTTTCACTTGTCTCTTAATTATTTTTAACTAATGTTAATTTGCATGATCTCCTTTTTGTGGCTGCATTTACGAAAATCTCTTGGGCAAGGACGAGACCAGACTTCTATAAGCAACAAAGATTACCTCCATTACTTATCTCCTAGTTTAAAATTTCCCACTGAGAAAACTTTGTTAAAGAAAGGAATGATGACTGAGAAGCATTGTATTTCAGGGCTGAAATTGGAAAGCTGTTCCAGCTTTTTTTTGCAGGATAAGTATGAGTCTAGGGCTACCTCACTGTATTGTTATTTCTGCCCTTTCAATATCCACTCACTCTTCTTTCAGCTCAGCCATGAGTTATGTATATTCCAGCATTTAAAAAATGTACTGTACAAAGATGAATTTTACTGACCTTTGTTGATACCATAGGGCTGGAAACAGAACTCAACTGATAAGTATTTAACATTTCACCATTAGTTTTATTCAGTTTATTTTTAGCTTTTCACTTTACTCATATTCACCATACTTTATAGATTGTACAAGAACGCATAGTTGGATATCTGTTTATTATCTATCAAGATAGCTATCTATCTGTTTATCTATCATCTTTTGTAAGCTCTTGATTATCTTCTATTAATAAATAAAAATGTGTTAAAATATTCATAGACTCATAAACTAACATGTGTCATCTTTTAGCCTTAATAATCCCATAGACACTGCTTTATTCAAATTAAAATGTTATACTTCATATTCACTTATCTAGTCTTATTTTCTTTTCAACACAAATGATAAAAGCACATTCTTTTGTTAGCAATTTTTAAGTTTTAAGACAAATCTAAAATCTAACGGCTAGAAATTTATAGATATAGGGCAATATTTCTATGTAGCTCATTGGAATATTTCATAAGCAGATTTCACCGTATACCTCACCTGTTTTGTTCTGTTTGTTATGAAATAAATTAATTTTAAAGGCTCACAAAAATGTAAATAAATAAAGACCTCATTCAACTGTTCTTAACCTTTAATATTCAAATAACAAAATCTGGCAGCAGAAGAAATGGGAAGGACTTCTGTCTCATCATCAATTCTCTTCCTTTCCCAGCCAGTGATCTCAAAGCTCCAGAGGAAATGAAAAATAGTTCTTATTCTCAAAAAGGCAAGGTATCCTTAGATCATCCAATTATTTGGCACAAGACTGGAATCAATAAGTTGCTGAAATAAGTCAAGAGGTAAGGTTTTAATCCCCCTAATAGAAAATTGTGTTGTCCAGAATTTTCATGCTTCATAAATCTTTTAAAGTGAGAAGAGGAGTGGTGGAGATTAATGGCGTGAATTCTAGCTCCTCAACTCTAGTAATTAAACAATTTTGTTTTACATATTTTGAGCTGTAATTGACTTTTGTGCTATTTTGATTTGTAAATGCTCTGGAAAGGAAACAGGTAATTTCGAAACATTTAACTTTTTAAGATGTAAAAGCTAGCTTACTTACTGACAAGCTGGTTCTTCTTTTTCCTCCTTAATGGAGGCACTAGGGATTGAACCCAAGACCTTGTGCACACCAAGCAAACACTCTATCACTGAGCTACCCCCCTCCTTCCTGATTAGTTCTTGATATGGGGAATAAATGTTCTCAAAATATTAGATATGATTTACTTTTATATTTCCTAATCAGTGCTTCTATATTAGGGCTTACATATGAGAGCTATAGCTAATTTCTTTTTGATCTTTTGAGTTGGCATTCTTTATTTGGCTTTGTGAAAACAATCCACAGCTAGGTCAGTATCATTTGACAATCTCTTTCCTGTAAGAGGAGCATCTCATTTGTGTAGCACTTTATGAAGAGCTTTTACATACCGTTTGATTTTTACAACTCTATGAGCTAGATATGAAACGTATTATTCACTAATTCAGTATGTTCATTCAACAAGTTTTTATTAATGCCCTACTCTGCAAAAGGCATTGAGGATATGTAGTGAACCAAATAAAGACCCCATTCTCATAGAGCTTATGTACTAGTGGGGAGAGAGAGAGACACTAAACAAATAAATATAGATTTATGCCTATTCTTGTGCAGAAAGTTAAGCAGGGTAAAAGGAACAATGAAATATGGAAAATGTCTATGAATGCTACTTTATAAGGAGTGATCGTGAAAAATATCTCTGATGAGATGACATTTGAGCAAAGGATTCCAGAGGAAGAATATTCCAGGCAGAGGAAGCAATAAGTATAAAGTCCTGAGGAGGGACTGTTTCTTGGTGGGTTCAAGAACTATAATAAAAAGAATTACAGGAGAGGAGATGAGACTAGAGTGAAGCAAGCAATGGAAGAACGGTGAGATGCTACTACATACCTATCAGAATGTCTAAAATTAAAAAGATTGACCATATCAAGTGTTGGAGAGGATGTGGAGAAACTGGAACTCTTAAGTGTTGCTGGTGGGAATGTAAAATTGTACAATCACTTTGGAAACGATTTGGCAGTAAACATGTTAGCATAGATTGACAACATGATCCAGCCATTCCACTCTAAGATAATTAAGCCAAGAGAAAAGGAAATACATGTCCATATACGGATTTGTACACAGATGTTCAAAACAGCTTTATTTATGGTCCCAAGTAGTAAGCAACCCAAATTTCCATCAATAGGTAAATGGTTAAACAAATGATAGCAAATCTATATGATGCAATACTACTCAGCAGTAAAAAGGAATGAACTTTGGATGCAGTCAGCAACAAGGATGACTCCTTAATTATGCTGAGTGAAAGAAACCAATCCCCCAAAAATGTATACTGTAAGATTCCACTCATATAGCACTCTAGAAAATGAAAACAGGTCTGTTGTCCCAGAAATCAGGTTAGTTTGGAGACGGGAGGGACAGATAAGGGTGGAAGAGCAGAGTAGAGTGGGAAAGGAATGGATTGTGAAGGGGCATGATGGTGCTCCCTTCGGCAGCACGTGTACTAAAATTGGAGTGATACAGAGATTAGCATGGCCCCTACACAAGGCTGACACAAATTTGTGAAGCGTTCCATGTTTTTAAAATCAACTATACTTCAATAAAAACAACAACAAACCCAAAGGGACATGAGGAAACTTTGGGTGGTGATCCATATGTTTGCTGTCCTGATTGCAGTGATGGTTTATGGGTGTATACATACGACAAAACTTATGAAATTGTGCTCCTAAAATATGTGCAATTTATTTTCTATCGATATCTCAGTAAAACTTTTTTTTTTAAAAAAGGTGGTTCCAACATCCATATGAGTGTTTGAGGTATAAGTGGGTTTTTCAAGTGGGCATGCCCACTTTGGGGTTGGAAAAAGGGATCTGGAACGTGGGTGGAAAGCTGGGGAGACAGATTTTGAGTGAATTGTCCCTTCCTCTCTCTTCCTCCTTCCCTTTACTTTTTTCCTTACCCCCTTCATCTGTCCACCATTAAGATCTGATGTTGTAAATACTCTTTTACAGAGTTTATAGTTGAAGATATGAGAAAGGCTCGTTGCATCAAGGAATGGAAACAAAGAAAGCTTACTGAGGAAATAAACTTGAGAAACACTTGGGGGATGTTTGAAGAGGATACTGAAAAATAAGAGAAACCAGTATGATCATAAGAATGGTGGGCACATAGGAAAAGAATTAATAGAAGGGAATGGCTGAAGGGAACGGGTGGACTACACTTTTTTGCTTAGCATTTTCTATTTCTGTGAATGTTGATCTGTCTTTCCAGTGCTCAAGAACATCTCCACTGGGATAAAGAACAAACCAACCAACCATAGGGACTATGCTAGTTAATGTTCTGTTGTTTCTGGTGGAGTAATATGTTGTTAAAAAACAATAAAAGCACAAAACTAAACCTTAGTAAGACCGGTATCCTTAGCAGACAGGAGTCATTTCACATGTAAAACTTCAGCTGGCTCAACAGAGCAAACAATATTTGATTTTAACCTGCATCTTCTGTTTTTATAATTCAGACCACATGCAATGCTGAGAGTCTTCAGAGAGGCATAGTAATTTATCCCCTGATGTTTGGCATAGGGTGAACAACATTTTTAATTTTGTGAAACAAGTGTAGGAAAAAGGTATATAGAAACATATATAGCAATTCTTTGAGATGCTTTTTAGCCTTTCCTGCTGCTGCTTCCTGCAAAGTCCTGGTGATAATTTCTAAAAGCTGCTCAGTTCTTGGATTCATATTGTACAAGTGTGCCAAAGAGAAATTAGTCAATTACTTCAGAGAAATAACATGCACTTGTAGAAAGCACTCAGTAGGGTTAGAATTCTACTTTGTTGTATTCTTTACATTTCCTACAGTAATAAAGAAATGGTTATTGAAATTTTAAAACTTTCCAGGGAAGATTTAATATTAAGGTCAATTAAAGTATCTTATCCAAAGTCTTTAGAGAGAAGTGGGTTGGATTTTATACCTGTGGCTTAAGTTTACAGTGTTCAGGGAGGAACCAGAACCAAAGAAAAAGAAATCAACTGACCAAACAAAATTGCAAACTCACAAAAATAAAAACGCTTTATAAACCAAATACAGCATTCTATGATGACTGGTTTGTAGAATGTCAGACAGCCCTGTGCTCCAATCTCTGATGTGACTGATTAGCTGTGTGGCTTTGGGCGGATTGGCAGTCTCTCTGAGCCTCTGTTCTTCTGTAAGAGGGACCATAATACCTGCCTTACCTACAGAGATGTGGTGAGGAGTGAGGGAGGGGATCTCTGGGACAGTGCATGGACAGATTTTCCATAAATGACCATTTAGTCCCTCCCCTCTTTTTTTTCCTCAGAGAGTAAACAGGGCTGACAGTTTAGGGTGCAGACAGTCTCACTTTCTTTGCCACTTCTGCCCCTGTACCCTCTTCTGGTGTGAGAATGAGAAGGTTTCTCTTCTTCTGGTGGACAGGTTTGGGTAGGGGAAGCCAGGAAAGTGACCTGCCTGGCTTTCTCCCTGCTGTCCTATGTCCTTGGCCATGTTCCACCAGGCTGTGGCCTCAGTGCTCTGGCTAAGTAAGACCCTAGTTTTGAGTCATCATGACTGAGAGATAGGACGTAAAGTGGCAAGCTTTGTAGGGAGCTCAGAACTGGTTCAGATTCTCCTGAACTGCCCTGCAGAGGGCACCAGGCTTGGTTCAGACACGCCTCCTCTACACCGCAGTCAGACTTGTCCGTTACCCTTCCAGATGTCCTGCACTCTAGCGGCGGAATGGAGAGAAGTCTTATTCCAGAGAGGAGGCGTTTATGTGCTGGCTCTCAGTTTTTGTTTTGTCTTTAAGCTTCATGTTTTCTTATTCAGGAGGGATTTAAATTCGCTTACAATAATAATCACCATCTATTATGTGCTACATGCTTTATATCCATTAACTCATTGAATTCTCACAACAACCCTGCAAGATAGATATTAGTCCTAATTTACAGATGAGAAAACTGAGGCTTCAGCATGTATTAGGACTTGCACAAAGCCCCATAGTTAGCAACAGTAGTATTAGAGCCCAGATATGTTTTATGTAAGAACTGTTAAACATTTCATCTCTCAGTCATATTTACCTGCTTCTCCATCTACGTCACCTCACCTCCAAAACCCGAAAAAGCATCCTGGCCTGAGACAAGTACTAATCTATAGGATTTATTTGCCATGTAAATACCGAGATGTGATCTCTCTCTCTAATTGTCTCACCTCTAGGATGTCATTGTAGAGAGTTTGCCAGCTGGGAAAAGATGCAAAGGACCCCACGGTATCAGTGAATATCGTGTGTCCTCATAAAACCATTGCTTTAAAAACAGCTTTGTTTTACCGAGAGAATTAAATAACCAAAAATTGAGGCTAATTTTTGCAGCTGAGCGAATGGAGGTGCATTAATTATTTGTGAACCTTATTCTGAAGTGGTCCTCAGTTCTAAAATTCCAAAGGAAGCGAGTAGAGTACAGTGTGCAATGTTCTCTGAGCAGATGATCTGGTCTTCTCAAGTCAGGAGTTCTCCTTGGGAGCAGTTATGATACTGAATTGTTTTATGGTTTTACTCTTTAAAAGCCCACAGAGCAGAACAAGCTGGCCTGTCTCTGAGCACCAGGGCTAGATCGAGAGTGCATTGACTGTTTTTTTCCTAGCAAAACAAAAACAAGGATAAACAATATTTTCTGTACAACTGAAAAATAATTATCAGTGAGCAATAGTCTGAGAAACAGGGTAAGAAGAAGGACAATTGTGGATTTTATAAGAATCGAACTTTAATTCAGAATTTGAGTTGAATCTATTTTAACTTTTATTCACCTAAAGGCCTAGGCCCAGGTCTAGAATAATTACTATGATATTCCATGAAAGACTTTAATATGTTTTCTGCATTTTAAACTGAGTGATTGGTGCAGTAGGATTCTCTTTCCAGTCTGAATGGACTTAGCAGCATAGATGGACATGCAGTGTGTACAAAGCTATTAGCATCACTCAGAAATAAGTTTAGGTCTCACAGAAACAAATATAAATCTTATATAATAAAGGGTTTGGGCCTTACGGTCACTTTAAAATTTCAGACGGTGTTCAATATGACAAACTTTTATTGCCTTAGAATTTATTTGTTGTTCTAGGCATTCAAAGCACCTTATTTATTCTAAGAGACAGAATCAGTTTTATGATGGCAATTAACACTTCAACAGATGAGAAAATTGATGCCTGATGTGATCTCTTCCACCCAGCTAGAGCTAGGAGTTTAATCTGTGACTATCAAGTGACCTGACTCTGTTGCAGCTGCAGACCAGGGACCACAGGCTTTAGGGCTGGATTCTGCTATTTTGGCCCTCGGAAAATTATTAGCAATTCGTAAAGTTTAATGTGCATACCAATGACTTGGGGGTCTTTTTGAAATGCAGATTCTGCATCAGTTGATCTATGGTGAAGCCTGAGGTTCTGCAGTTCTAACAAGCTCACAGGTGATGCTGATGCTGGTGGTCTCATGACCAAGCTTTGAGCGGCAGAAAATTAATTGAACCTTATTTTTCACTGGCGTAAAATAGGAATGGAAATTACTACTTGGGAAGATTGTTAGGAAACCAAATGAATCAATGAGGTGAAGCATCTGACAGCTAGGAGGATCACCACAAGTATAAATGTCCTCTTCTTCACTTTCCCTATTTTGTTCCTATCCTGCTCAACAAAAGACTTCAACTCTTTAAGTTTCCTCAGCCCTGGTTTTCACTGGGTTCACTTCCAAATTAGTGTGGCTTAATCAGGTTCATGGCAGAAAGGCATTTATGAATAGTTAAGAGTCCACCTTTGTTCTCTCTCCCCAAGTCAGTGTTTAGTGTGACATCCAAAGTTACTTGGAAGATCTATGCTAAATGTGAATGCTCAGAATTGAATTGATAAGCAATTTGTCCAAACTGGCTCTAAACTTTTACTTAACCATTAACAAAAAATGATTATTTGGATCACAAAACAAAACCTAATTATATTCTTACAAGACACATTTTTAAAGTAAATTACTTAAAAATGGTTAGAAATAACCTGAAACTAACATTGTAAATTGACTACACTTCAATAAAAAATGAGAATTTTAAAAAATGGTTATAAATGAAAGAATGGGCAAAAGTAGACCAGACAATTCAAACATAAACAACATCAGAGTTCTAATTTTAATATCGAACAATTCAATTCACAACCTTCCAGAAAGCAGAAGAGGAGGGAACACTTCCCAACCCATCCTCTAAAAGTAATTTTAACCTGATACCAAAACCAAAGACATTGCAAGAAAAGAAAACTAAAGGCCAGTCCCTTGTGAATGTAGATGCAAAAATCATTCTCAACAAAATACTAGTGAACTTAATCTATCAACATATAAAAAGAATTACACATCTTAAATGGGACTTATCCCATGAATGCAAAAGTGGTTTAACATTTGAAAGTCAATTAATATGATATACCACATTAATTTTTTTTGAAAAGGGATGAAATCCCTTGATCAATGCAGGAAAAGTATTGGATAAAGTCCAGTTCTTCTCAGGATAAAAATACTTAAAACTATGAACAGAAGAGGAGACCCTCAAC